GTTTAGTTTTACACAGTTTGAACCATAAGGATAAGGATAGATCAGCATAGTAATTTCTTTGGATTTTGTGGGTCTATTATATTGCAGATGTAAATACACATATAAGCTTTCAAATCTACAACTATTCACATTTCAAATTTATTATTTCCATTAAAAAACAAGATAGATTGCCAGGCAACGAAACATACGCCCAGAGCAGCTAAATCATCCGAGCAGTCAACAAGAGTTGGCGCATATTTTTACATTTTTGGGTAATGAAACATTTATAATACACTAAAATCTGATTAAGAGTAACAACTCATTAGCCATGCATTATGCAAGAGCAAAATCTGCTTATTATAAGTCATTCTTTAGGCCTGAAATGTTATCTAAATTATCAATTAGACATTAATTAACTTATCCAGACCATAATAAACTCTCGATGTCAAGGCTAGCCTTCGATATTGGCTGGATTAGATTCCTATATGCCGCTAACGGCCAGTGATAATGAAATCAATAAAAGTGGATAATCGAGACTATGCTGTTTATATTAATGATTTTAGTAATGATGACCGAGACTGCAAAAATTTCACCCGTTTCTTTCTCGGCCCAAAGTGGATCAATTTGACTGAAATTGTCAGCAAATTACCTTTACACTATCTAGTTTTTAACTATTATAGCGAGAACTGCCATCTCTTTATCTTATCTCCCATAATGTATCTTTAAGTAATTATCAGAAAATCATTAGAATTTGTTTGCTAACGTTTAGTATACAAAACATTTGATATCATGGATTTAGCTGTTCAAGTTATCAAAATTCAATGAAAATCAATATACTTGTTCGTCTCAAGACCTTAAACTGTGTATCAATCTGAAGTCAATCGGATGATAAATTTAGCCTCTAGAGAGTCACAAGATTTTTCAAAGTGATCAAGCCCATAACTCTGGCAGTAATTATATCAGAAATCGCTGAAAATCAATAGCCTTCTTCATCTCATGACCTTAAACACTGTGTATAAATTTAAAGTCAATCGGATATTAACTTTTTTTTAGAAATATATAGGCCTATATCACAAGGCTTAGTATTATTTTAAATTTAGTTTACAGATATTCATAAAATGCTGTGAGAATTCTGCCTGAATATTGTGACCTTTTTTTTTGGACAGTTGATAACGGTTTTTAGAAATAGGTAGGCATATATCATGAGGCCTAGTAGGCCTAAATTATTTTAACTTTACAAATCCTCACAAAATGCAGGGAGATATTCTGCCTGCTTATCGGGACTTGTTGGGGAGAGCTGATTTTTTTTTTAAAAAAAAATAGGTAGATCTAGGCCTAGATCATGAGGCCTAATATTTAAACTTGATAAATCTTCACAAAATGCAAAATCTTCGTGAGGCCTATAGTATTATTGTATTTTGTACAAATTTTCGGGAAATGCTATGAGATCGGCCTGTCAAGTAAAACCATAAAATGCAAAAAGGTACTAAATTATGCTTAAGTAAAATTGAATATTTTAATATTCGTCCATATTCTTTATTTGACAAATTTACCTACTTCTTGAATCAGAACACCTTGCACGTGTGCTAGTATGGCCGTTTGTCGCCCATCCTCTCGGATATTTTCCCATCCATCAATCCATCAATCTGCTGAAATAAGACACACGGTAAACTTGAAAAAATTTTAACTTGTCGAAAAAAATTCAAGGGAGATCATGATACGTGAGCGTACGTAGTCAAGTTATTTTAGGTTTTTTTTTTATTTTAAATCAACAGTAGCATATTATCCAAGTTGGCATTGTTGGTACTTGGGATTACAACCCATGTGAATAATTCTTTAATTTATATAACCATCAAGACATTAAAAATGTAAATTTCACGCAGCACTAAATGTGCAGGCGGAGGAGTAATGGGGTTTGTTTGTAAACAAATCTAACCCAGACCCCTACCTGTCTCGAAAGGCTGAAACTGTGAAACCAAGGCTATTTCGAGATTAATATGAAATATTTTATTAACATGCTTGTAACGACGTAACATTTTTGTTTTAATTCTTTCTTGTTCATTTCGAAATGGAATATCGCATGGCCGTCGTTTGAAAGGTATACACATGCACCACACCAGGTCTCGTCTCTCTCACCTACCTCCCCAACTAGTGTTTCGCACTCGTCAGAAAGGTATACTCGTCTGATGAGCCTATCAGATTCCTTGGTCATCGCGAATTCCAAGTCTCGCTCTTTCAAGCTAAACTGTCTACCTGTCATAATCGAGTTGCAAAGTTCAAGGTTCGTCCAATGTCAAGGTTTCCGGGTGGTTCGCTATGTCACAATATCTGATTGGATGCTACTGTTCACGTGTCCGCAGATAACGTAGCTATAAGTTCGGGAATTGTGAAGTAAACCAGCAAAGGTCAGATGTTGTAAAACTCGCAGTCGTTGCTTGAGGAACATGGTTTATAACCTAAAGATCTTGGTTCCTTTCGATATTTGCGTATAAGGGATAGTAACTTCCTGAATTATGGCCCCAGATTGTACGAAATATCGCCTTTTTTATACGCCCACATTTAAATGTGGTCGTATATTGTCGTCGCCCCCGTCCGTCCGTCGGTCCGGTCGTCGGTCCGGCGTCCACAATTGCTTGTGGACGCTCTAGAGGCTAAAGTTAATATCCGATTGACAGTGTTTAAGGTCTTGGGACGAAAAAGCCTATTGATTTTCAGCGATTTCCGATAATTACTGCCAGAGTTATGGCCCTTGATCACTTCAAAAAATCTTGTGGGCGCTCTAGAGGCCAAAGTTAATATCCGATTGATCTTAAATTTATACACGGTGTTTAAGGTTATGAGACGAAGAAGCCTATTGATTTCCAGCGATTTCCGATAATTACTGCCAGCGTTATGGCCTTTGATCACTTCAAAAAATATTGTGGACGCTCTAGAGGCCAAAGTTAATATCCGATTGACTTTAAATTCATACACAGTGTTTAAGGTCATGCGACGAAGAAGCCTATTGATTTTCAGCAATTTCCGATAATTACTGCCAGAGTTATGGCCCTTGATCACTTCAAAAAATCTTGTGGACGCTCTAGAGGCCAAATTCATACACAGTGTTTAAGGTCATGCGACGAAGAAGCCTATTGATTTTTAGCAATTTCTGATATTTACTGCCAGAGTTATGGCCCTTGATCACTTTGAAAACTCTTGTGGACGCTCTAAAGACCAAAGTTAATATCCGATTGACTTTAAATTTATAATCAGATTTTAGTGTATTATAAATGTTTCATTACCGAAAATTAAAAAAAATGTGACAACTCTTGTTGACTGCCCGGACGATTTAACTGCTGTGGGCGTATGTTTCGTTGCCTGGCAACCTATCGTTTTAGCTTGTGGTTCCTCTGGAGGTCACAATTATTAACGGATTTAAAACAACGTTTGATTATATCACCGTTACACCGTAATAAAGGTTGAGTTCGAATTTCGTGAAAATCGGATCAAAACTGCCGGACAAATGGCCGTCGCTTGTACACAAATAGTTTTAAAATATTGTATATAAAGGTTGAAAACCCTGTAGAGGTCACAATTTTAATCTGATTTTGATGAAACTTTCAATGCATATTTATAATTCAAAGATCTTGGTTCCAGTCGATATTTGCGCATACCGAATTGTAACTTCATGAATTATGGCCCTTGATTGTAGGAAAAATCACTTTCTTTTTAGCTTGTTCTCTATCCATCCCTCGAAAATGTGGGCGTATCCTGCCTGGCACCCGCTGGTTTAAATTATCTTTAAATCCAGAGACATCGAAAACCACATAAAAGATACAGTAAAAGTCACATTGTACGAAATTCTCGCTGGTTATATAGGGGAAAATTTTGCAGACGCCCATGTGAAAAATACATTCTTGGTTTTTTTTCTTCAGATTCGTTATTTCGGCACATTTCGCCTCTATAACTAGTTTTTGTTTTGAAGAATTTAAAAAGGAATTAGTTATTCTCCCACCACTAAAACACACTGGTTACGATATATCGCTCTCCGAAACTTCCTGAAGACCGCCATATTGAGTTATGTTAATTACGTTATTTCGCCTCGAGTATCACGTTGTCTGACATATATATCATTGAACCAAACTGCAGTGGTTTCTTTTGCAATTTGTTTTGGGTAAAACGTTATCCCTCCTCGACTATAATGACGTGATATCATAGCAGCCGTGCTCACAATTACCTAGAACGACGTAATGACATGATTTCATATCAGTCGTATTCACGGAGGACGTAATGACGTGATTACATAGCAGTCGTACATACGAATACCTACGACTATACCCATTAATGCCCCATATGGTTTAGTACATTCCAGTAAGGTAGTTCAACGATGTAGTACGACAGACAATAACCGTATTGTTTAAAACTTTCGTAAATCGAAAAAGCGCATGTCGGTCAATCAGTACCACATAGAAACAAAACGAATCAATACGAATATTCACAATTGTCAAGAACATTCATATCTTCGCGATTCATGATAGGGGCATTACCAACTGCCATTGCTCAAAAACCATCTTGTCACCGCGGCTCCTCCAAGCTGTCAACCAATAGAAATCCATTTCAAAGACCGATCAACATGAAACGCTCCCTCTCTCTAACTCCCGTCCAAGAAAGGATTTTACATATAAATATAAATGAGTACATGTAATTTAGAAAATGTAACCCGTGTCTCATACACGACATGAAAAAACAGCTCTACGTACCTGCTCATTTGTTTCTGTGTGCAGTGCGTTATTCGCCAATATGAAACAGCTCGTTATTCTGTTAGAAAGACAGCTTGTTAGAATATGTTTCACAAGACTTATAGTGTTATAAGACGAATAGAATTCCTAAAAAAATCACCCTTCCATATTCCCTATCATATCACCTTTATTTTATTACCAATTACAATAATAATTTTAATATAATTAGTGATATAGCCCCTTATATATTATTCGTTCTTTACTGAGAGAGTATACATGTTTTAAACTTTATATTTACTCTAGAAAATTGTCCTGATGGATTTTACGGTACCAATTGTAACATTAGATGTCCAGCGAACTGTACAAACAATATCTGTGAGAAAATGATAGGATCATGTTCTAATGGTTGTCAGGGAGATCTTTATGGTAGCAGGTGTGAATTATCATGTAGCACCAGATGTAAGAATGGTAAATGTAATGCCACAATAGGAACATGTACCGAATGTAAAGATGGTTACTATGGTGAATTCTGCGAGTCTACATGCAACACCAATTGTCAGGATAATAAGTGTGATAGGAAAACAGGGAAATGCACCGGGTGTAAAGATGGTTACTATGGTGACGTCTGTGAGTCTACGTGCAACACCAATTGCCAGGATAATAATTGTGATTGGAAAACAGGGAAATGTACCGGATGTAAAGATGGTTACTATGGTGATGTGTGTGAGTTTGCATGCAACACCAATTGTCAGGATAATAAGTGTGATAGGACAACAGGGGAATGCACCGGGTGTAAAGATGGTTTCTATGGTGATGTGTGTGAGTCTACATGCAACACCAATTGTCAGGGTAATAAGTGTGATATGAAAACAGGGAAATGCACCGGGTGTAAAGATGGTTACTATGGTGAATTCTGTGAGTCAGCATGCAACACCAATTGTCATAAGTGTGATAGAAAAACAGCGAAATGTACCGGATGTAAAGATGGTTTCTATGGCGAATTCTGTGAGTCTACATGCAACACCAATTGTCAGGATGATAAGTGTAATTGGAAAACAGGGAAATGTACCGGATGTAAAGATGGTTACTATAGTGATATGTGTGACGAATCATGTCCTACTTGTAATGGTACATGTCGACAATTAGATGGTGTCTGTTTGACTGGCTGTAAAGATGGATATTGGGGATGTAATGGTTTGTGTCTACAGACATGTTCCTACTGTAATACAAGAGGCTGTAGAATAGAAGATGGCGTATGTCATAATGGCTGTCAATTTGGTTTCAGCAATCCAAAATGCTTCAATAGTCCAAGTAAGTCGTGTTTCCTAATCATTGTAAATCAGACTGGGTAGGAAGGGTTGAGGCGGGGATTCCAAATGGTCGCTAATCAACAATGATTGACTAAGGCCTCTGAACTTGGTTATAGTAGTACCGGATATATTGTCGGTTATTAATAACCCTTATTCAGCCACCACCATCCACACTACCTGTTTTGTAACTGTGTATAGTTACATGTTATTAATAACCCTACCCCAGCCATCGCCACCACATATTTTGTTACATAGTATAGTTACATGTTATGAATAACTCTTCCGCAGCTACCACCATCACCTAATTGGTTACTGTAGTTACATGTTATTAATAACCCTTCCCCAGCCACCACCATCACCAATTCTGTTACAGTGTATAATTACATGTTATTAATAACCTTTCCCCAGAAACAACCATCATCTATTTTGTTACATTGTATAGTTATATAAACTATATTTTATTCAATAACAAAAGGATTGGGGAACAGGCTAGGCCTATATCACCCCCTCCCTTCAACAAAACAATATAATTACAATTTGTTTACTAAAATACAGGTATATAGTGGGAACTATTTATATTGTGTTATTAATTAATAAAATTCTGAAAGTATACTTTAATATTTTTTCAATTAAAAAGGTTATTTGATAAACATTATAACTAATTTTGGTTTAAGGCCTGAAAGTGTATAAATATGTAAACAGAATCTAGTACAGTACTTAAAATCTATTACTTAATTCTAAAAAGTTTTGCACCTCAGAAAATATTAATTTATTTTGTTCAAGTGAAATATTCGTAGAGCCATACAATATAAATTTTCTGTTGATGTATTCTGTTGGTAATGTTTTTTATGGTTGTATTTCGTGTATCTGAATATAAGGAACATATCAGCAGAAAGTGATAAGGATCTTCAAAATTGTGTCCACGTCGGTAGGTTGGAGAGTCAGTTATGTGTCTTATAAATGCATGTCCATTTAGATCACTGATTGATAAACGAAGTCTTGAATGGATAATTTGAACTTTTCTTTTTCCAATATTGTAATAAGAAGGTACCAAGTGATCGTACTTTGAGAGTTTTAGTTTAAAAGTGAATAACGTATCTGAATAACGTATAGAAAGATCTAGATTGTCCCAAAGTCGTGTAGTTGAAGGAAAGAAAGAATTATAAAATAGATTAATTTTACAAAAGTAGTATGGTAGGTTTTTGTCATTTCTTAATGAGTAATTACTTTGTTTTTTGTTTAGATTGTCATAAAGGTAATCATGGGTTAAGTGGTTTATTATTTTATATAAAAATATCAACTTATGTCTTTCGCGACGTTGTTTTAGATGCAAAATACCCGCTTCTTTATATTGCAAACCATTGCTAGTTCCCTTCACAGCGCCACATATAAAACATCTAACTGTAGTTGTTCTAACTGGTTAGCTAAGTAATCCGTGAACCCATCCCAAATAATGTCAGCATAGTCGAAGTGTGGTAAAATATATTGTGCGTAAAGCATCTAATTGTACTTGTTCTAACTGGTTAGCTAAAATATATGAAGTATATATTGTTTTGAGTGATTTCCTTCCTAGTCGATACTTGAGTTATTTTAAGCAGTTGATAAATTTTGACAATTTATTACAAAGATTTTCTATATGTATTTTCCATTTAAGATTGTTTTGTAAAATAAGCCCCAAATGTTTGTGATGAGACACTTCATTTATTTTAACCGTGTTCATGCAAAGAGGAACGGAGTCTTGCTTGGATGTGGTTGATATTGTTAATGTTTCAGTTTTATCAGGATTAAAGGAAACTAGCCATGTTTTAGCCCATGTGTAAATTCTCTCAATATCTGAATTTAAAATTTGGGCACGTTCTGTAGCATCTTTAATGAACATAAGGATGTATCATCCGCGAATAATTTTATATTTAACTGTAATTTTTCGACAATATCATTTATGTAGATCAGAAAAAGTAAAGGATCGAGAACCGAGCCCTACGGAACACCAGTCGTGACAACTGAGGTACCAAAGGATGCATTTCCGACGACAATATCTCAGTGCTTCTATATTCATTTTTTTGCATAGTCCTATATGAGTCGGTTATACCTGTGTTTAGGTTGGGAATGAAATGAAAGTTGACAGTACACAGGGCAGTGATCGCTACAATAATTATCCAAACAACCGATTGTCTTAACAAAATTCTGGGCAATTAGTTAAAATTAAATCAAGCATTAAAGGATCTTTTACCTGGAAAAAATCGATATTAATATCTCCCATGATAAAGCATTTCGTTATATCATCTAATAAAGCCAAACTAATAGAATTTAAAATAGAATAATTTACACGAGAAGAACTACTGGGAGACCTATAAAATGTACCTAATAAAAATGTATTGTTTTTAGTGTGAATTTCTATCCAAATACACTCTGTATTGTCAACTTCCAAGTCACAGCGTCTCTTATATTTCAAAGTATTTCTAACATAAACTGGTACACCACCACCCTTGTTGGTTGTGCTTTCTTTCCTTATTGGTGCTTGGTAAGATGGAAAGGAGACTAAACTATCAGGGATATCTGGTTTTAACCAAGAGAATATCAGAACTATGTAACTCTGAAGAGATCAAGTCAATTTTACCCCTGATACTCCTTACATTCAGATGCACAATAGATAAATAATTATTTTTTTGATTAGGACCCGGATTCTGTTCAATATCACCACAGAGTAATAGTATAACGAGTATGTATATAATATATAAATTACAAAGCCTTGTGAGTTTAAAGATATAGTTAACAACAGAGTGTATATATATTTTGTGTTTAGTCTTTAGTAATACCATACTACTATCTGGAGAACCATCATTATAAACATCACATATGAAAACAGTTATAAAAAATAATCAATAAGCATACAATGTCTAAATAATCTAATATCATAATACATTTTAATAACGCAATGAAGTAAATAAAAGAAATATAGTTGAACATAGAAACGGTATATACAATCTATAATACAAGTACAGTATGATGTTGTTACTGTACTAATTGCCTGACACACCTTGCTGTGTGTGGAATGGGTCAGTCACGTGAGAACTTACCGTTACCGATGCTATGTGTAACGAGCACGTGCTTATTGCAAGATGAGCTTGTGTTTTCGGGAATACATACTCCTCACAGTGTTCGCTTGATTTGGTATAATCTGGTCAGGAATGTGAGAAATGAAATTAAATGAAATGGGGTTTAACGTTCTATACTGCCAGGGCTAATCAGGAATGTGAGTGCGCGAGGTGTATGAGTTGACTATTAATTAAATACGGGGGTCGTCGCAATAAAGTTCCGTTATGTCCTAAGCAGATCGACAAAAATAAAATTTAATGATAAAATTCTGACATAAAATAAAACAAACTATATATCTATATTCTAAAAAGAGACGATCTATGTGAGCAGTAAAAAGCGGAAATATCAAAATATAAATACGCAATAATCTCACATAAAATGTCATAATGACTGCAACATTTTTTAATATAAAACAAAAACAACTAATATATGGTCATAGTGCATTAGTTACAATGATTTGATGACCTCTTGTTGTGCTTGATGTGCTTAGGATCAGCAACTTATTTGATATTTTTCACACAAATCAAACTTCTGGATCAGGATCAATTTCATAACTGATGTTAGATGCTGTGGGGTTGTTTGTGTTTTGGGGTGTAGAAGTCAATATTCCTACATCGAATAGTGAATATTGACGGGGTGCGGTGTGAATTAACGACCCGAGATTAGCGGTAGCATTTCGTGGTGTCATGCTGTCTAAAAACTCATTTATGCTATTTGATGTACTTTCTTCATCCTGCCTTTTCTGTTTTTTCCTCTTATTTTCTTTTCCGCCCATTTTCTAGTCCAATTCGAAATTAATTTAGGTTCACACAAAATAATTTTATCCTGAAATTCTACACTGGAAGTTCTATTTACACTTGAAGTTTAAATCTCACCAAAGGTTTACACACTGGCTTCTACAAACTGGTTTTCACCTGAGTTTGTTCGCGTGAGTAGAAGTCGCGCCTAGAATCACAAAACTTGTATTAATTGTTCAATAATTAATAATCCATATCACATTCGGTGTAAAATCGTGTCAAATATCGAGAATAGTTTATATATCCACCAACACAGGGATTATTGAAGGTTTATCACATTAATTTCAATCATAAAATAACAAAAACTCTCTCTGGCTATCTGTGTGTCCACCTCAGTCGGCCATCTTGTCCATATCATAGTTACATGTTATTAATAATCCTTCCCCAGCTACCACCATCACCTATTTTGTTACATTGTATAGTTACATGTTATTAATAATCCTTCCCCAGCTACCACCATCACCTATTTTGTTACTGTCTGCTCTTTTACCATCTTCCAAACGCCCTTTAAAACATATCTACAAAGACTTAACAATATATTATTCTTCCTTACTGCTAGAGATGTTTTGAATTTTATATTTACTTAAACGTTATATTTACTTGGTATTCCCTTTAAAAGCACCTTTATTGTATTACTAATTATAATAATAATTTTGATATAATTAGTGATATAATCCTTTATATATTACTCGTCCTTTACTGAGAGAGTATACATGTTTTAAACTTTATATTTACTCTAGAAAATTGTCCTGATGGATTTTACGGTACCAATTGTAACATTAGATGTCCAGCGAACTGTACAAACAACATCTGTGAGAAAATGTTAGGATCATGTTCTAATGGCTGTCAGGGAGATCTTTATGGTAGCAGGTGTGAATTTTCATGTAGCACCAGATGTAAGAATGGTAAATGTAATGCAAGAACAGGGAAATGTACCGGATGTAGAGATGGTTTTTATGGTGAATTCTGTGAGTCTACATGCAACATCAATTGTCAGGATGATAAGTGCGAGTGGAAAACAGGGAAATGTACCGGATGTAAAGATGGTTACTATGGTGAATTCTGTGAGTCTACATGCAACACCAATTGTCAGGATAATAAGTGTGATAGAAAAACAGGGAAATGTACCGGATGTAAAGATGGTTTCTATGGTGACGTCTGTGAGTCTACATGCAACACCAATTGTCAGGATGATAAGTGCGAAAGGAAAACAGGGAAATGTACCGGCTGTAAAGATGGTTACTATGGCGAAGTCTGTGAGTCTACATGCAACACCAGCTGTAAGAATGGTAAATGTAATGCCAGAACGGGGAAATGTACCGGATGTAAAGATCGTTACTATAGTGACATGTGTGAAGAATCATGTTCTACCTGTAATGGTACATGTCGACAATTGGATGGTGTTTGTTTGACTGGTTGTAAAGATGGATATTGGGGATCTAATGGTTTGTGTCTACAGAAATGTTCCTACTGTAATACAGGAGGCTGTAGAATAGAAGATGGCGTATGTCATAATGGCTGTCCAGTTGGTTTCAACAATCCGAAATGCTTCAATAGTCCAAGTAAGTCGTGTTTCCTAATCATTGTAAATCAGGCTGGGTAGGAAGGATTGGGGCGGGGATTCCAAATGGTCGCTAATCATCAATGATTGACCAAGGCCTCTGAACTTGGTTATAGTAGTACCGGATATATTTTCGGTTATTCATAACCCCTATTCAGCCACCACTACCCCACCACCTGTTTTATAACTGTGTATAGTTACATGTTATTAATAACCCTTCCCCAGCCACCACCACCACCTATTGTGTTACATTGTATACTTACATGTTATTAATAACCATTCCCCAGTCACAACCATCACCTATTTTGTTACATTGTATAGTTACATTTTTTAAAAATTATATTTTATTCAATAAGAATAGGATTGGGGAACAGACTCGGCCCATATCACCCCTCTCCCTTCAACAAAACAATATAATTACAATTTGTTTACTTAAATACAGGTATATAGTCGAAACTATTCATATTATGTTATTAATTAATAAAATTCTGAAAGTATACTTTAATATTTTTTCAATTAAAAAGGTTATTTGATAAACATTATAACTAATTTTGGTTTAAGGCCTGAAAGTGTATAAATATGTAAACATAATCTAGTACAGTACTTAAAATCTATTACTTAATTCTAAAAAGTTTTGCACCTCAGAAAATATTAATTTATTTTGTTCAAGTGAAATATCCGTAGAGCCATACAATTGAAATTTTCTGTTGATGTATTCTGTTGGTAATGTTTTTATGGTTGTATTTCGTGTATCTCAATATAAGTGACATATCAGCAGAAAGTGATAAGTATCTTCAAGATTGTGTCCATATCGGTAGGTTGGAGAGTCAGTTATGTATCTTATAAATGCATGTCCATTTAGATCACTGTTTGATAAACGAAGTCTTGAATGGTTAATTTGAACTTTTCCTTCTCCATTATTGTAATAAGAAGGTACCAGGTGATCATGCTTTGAGAGTTTTTGATTAAAAATGAATAACGTATCTGAATTACGTATAGAGAGATCTACATTGTTCCAAAGTCGTGTGTGGGTGGGGGGGGGGTGACTGAATGGTTAGCGTGCGCGCGCTGTATCATAAAGTCTGTCATTGAGTCGACTGGCGTGGTTTCGAATCCCCGGTTGTACGTGACAAGGAGTAGGGTCGCCTGTCCAACCTCGTGGGTTTTCTCCAGGTCCTCCGGTTCCCCCCCCCCACTGCTAAAGACCCTTACGCGGAAGCGAATTATTGAAATAAAATTAAACCATATGTTAGTCCCGAAATGACCTAGTTTGTGTCGAGTGGACGTTAAAACCCATTTCTCTCTCTCTCCAAAGTCGTGTAGTTGAAGGAAAGAAAGAATTGTAAAATATATTAATTTTACTAAAATAGTATGGTTGGTTTTTGTCATTTCTTAATGAGTAATTACTTTGTTTTTTGTTTAGATTGTCATAAAGGTATTATGGGGTTAAGTGGTTTATTATTTTATATAAAAATATCAACTTATGTCTTTCGCGACGTTGTTTTAGATGCAAAATACCGACTTCTTTATATAGCAAATCATTGCTAGTTCCCTTCACAGCGCCACATATTGTTTTGAGTGATTTCCTTCCTAGTCGATGCTTGAATGATCTTAAGCAGTTGATAAATTTTGACAATTTATTACAAAGATTTTCTATATGTATTTTCCATTTAAGATTGTTTTGTAAAATAAGCCCCAAATGTTTGTGATGAGATATTTCATTTATTTTAACCGTGTTCATGCAAAGAGGAATCAAATCGTGCTTAGATGTGATTGATATTGTTAATGTTTCAGTTTTGTCAGGATTAAAGGAAACTAGCCATGTTTTAGCCCATGTGTATATTCTCTCAATATCTGAATTTAAAATTTGGACACGTTCTGTAGGATCTTTAATGAACATTTATAAGGATGTATCATCCGCGAATAATTTTATATTTAACTGTAATTTTTCGACAATATTATTTATGTAGATCAGAAAAAGTAAAGGACCGAGCCCTGCGGAACACCAGCCGTGACAACTGAGGTAGTAGAGAAGGCATTTTCGACGACAACACACTGTGTTCTATCAGTTAATTAGAGTTGAAGCCACTCCAATATGCCCCCTCTAATACCAACAGCGTCCAGCTTTCGACAGAGACGGGCATGCCATACCCTGTCGAAAGCCTTGCTGATGTCGCAGAACACAATTCTCACATAGTGACCGTCATCTATCGCTTTTGAAAAGAAATGGTTTATGTCTGTAAGTTGGTTTATAGTGGAATCTCCTTTCATGAAACCACTTTGGAACTTTGTTAGTAGTGAGTTGTCGAGCAGGAAGTTAAAAATATGCTTGTGTATACATTGTTCGAAAATTTTAGAAACTAAACTAAACAATGAGACCGGTCGAAAGTTAGAATAATCTGATTTACTGCCTTTTTTGTTAAGAGCCAAAACGTTTGCATGTTTTCAAGTTTGGGAAAAAGATCGAGTATCGAGTGAAAGATTAAAAAGAGAACATAGTGGGATAGAAATTTCTTCAGCAACTGACTTAAGTAATTTACCACTAATATTATCGGGACCAGAAGACTTTGATACATCAATACAACTAACCATATCTTTAACTTCCTGTGGGTGTAATGTTAGTTCATTAATTAAGTTCTCTTTGTGACTAGGACAAAGCAGAGGGTGATTAGTATCGTTCAATTCAGTCTGGTTTACAAAAAAATGTCTTCAACGTCTCTGCTTTATCACGTGGTCTAAATGCTGTGTTGTTGTTGTTAGTGTTGAGTGGTGGGATAGTGTGATGTGATGACCCATTTTCTTTTACAAACATGTTGACCAGTTTCCACTAGGATTTAGAGCCAAAATTTAAATCGTTGTTTATGTTTTTATCTATTTTTTCGTAATAGTTACGTTTACAATTTCTTATTAAACAAATGTAATCATTACCTAATTTTCCGAAATGGATTCCAATGCTCTGTTGATTCCGAATTTTTGGCTTTTTTAAATTTCATTTTTCTAATTTCATTATTCATCCAGGGTTTATTTCGAGGTTTAATAGTCACATTATAATAGGGATTTTATTTTTTGCAATATTAATCAACTTGTTTGTATATCTGAAGCATGTTTTTCGTCAATAGTGTCGCGTGCAATGATTACGGTTCAGTCGGTATTTGTTACACCATGTCTCAGTCATTCTATGTTCATTTTTTTTACATAGTCCCATATTAGTCGGTTACAGCTGTGTTCAGGCTGGGAATAAAATGAAAGTTGACAGTACACAAGGCAGTGATCGCTACAAAAATTATCCAAACAACCGTTTGTCTTAACAAAATTCGGGCAATTAGTTAAAATTAAATCAAGTAATAAAATAATCATCTAATAAAGCCAAACTAATAGAATTTATATGAGAAGAACTACTGGGAGATCTATAAAATGTACCTATTAAAAAAATATTGTTTTTAGTGTGAATTTCTATTCAAATACACTCTTTATTGTCAACTTCCAAGTCACAGCGTCTCTTATATTTCAAAGTATTTCTAACATAAACTGGTACACCACCACCCTTGTTGGTTGTGCTTTCTTTCCTTATTGGTGCTTGGTAATTATGGAAAGGAGACTAAACTATCAGGGATATCTGGTTTTAACCAAGTTTCAGATATTAAGAGAATATCATAACTATCTAACTCTGAAGAGATCAAGTCAATTTTACCCCTGATACTCCTTACATTCAGATGCACAATAGATAAATAATTATGTTTTTGATTAGGACCCGGATTCTGTTCAATATCACCACAGAGTAAGTATGTATATAATATATAAATTACAAAGCCTTATGAGTTTAAAGATATAGTTAACAACAGAGTGTATATATATTTTGTGTTTAGTCTTTAGTAATACCATACTACTATCTGGAGAACCATCATTATAAACATCACATATGAAAACAGTTATATAAAAATTATCAATAAGCATACAATGTCTAAATAATCTAATATCATAATACATTTTAATAACACAATGAAGTAAATAAAAGAAATAGTTGAACATAGAAACGGTATATACAATCTATAATACAAGTACAGTATGATGTTGTTACTGTACTAATTGCCTGACACACCTTGCTGTGTGTGGAATGGGTCAGTCACGTGAGAACTTACCATTACCGATGCTATGCGTAACGAGCACGTGCTTATTGCTAGATGAGCTTGTGTTTTCGGGAATACATACTCCTCACAGTGTTCGCTTGATTTGGTATAATCGGGACAGGAATGTGAGAAATTAAATGAAATGGGGTTTAACGTTCTATACTGCCTGGGCTAATCAAGAATGTGAGTGCGCGAGGTGTATGAGTTGACTATTAATTAAATACCGGGGTCGTCGCAATAAAGTTCCGTTATGTCCTAAGCAGAACGACAAAAATAAAATGTAATGATAAAATTCGGACATAAAATAAAACAAACTATATATCTATATTCTAAAAAGAGACGGTCTATGTGAGCAATAAAAAGCGGAAATATCAAAATATAAATACGCAATAATCTCACATAAAATTTCATAATGACTGCAACATTTTTTAATATAAAACAAAAACAACTAATATATGGTCATAGTGCTTTATTCACAACTCTTGTTGTGCTTGATCTGCTTAGGATCAGCAACGTATTTAATATTGTTCACACAAATCAAACTTCTGGATCAGTGTCAATTTCATAACTGATGTTAGATGCTGTGATGGGGTTGTTTGTGTTTTGGGGTGTAGAAGTCAATATTCCGACATCGAATAGTGATTGTTGACGGGGTGTGGTGTTAATTAACGACCAGAGATTACCGGTAGCATTTCGTAGTGTAGCATTTGGTCTGGTATGTTCGGTCTGTGTTTTATGTATTAATTGATGTTCATCAGACTGAATAAAGTGATGTTCATCAGACTGAATAAACTGACTCAAATCTTCTTCCGAGTTGATGACTAGACTTCTGTCACCTGTAAGTGGCTTAACATAAATTCGGCCATCATATGTCCAGCAATTTTTAATTTTGTTCAACTTGAATAATCCCCTTGTTCTTTTATAGGGTAGTGATCGTGTTTTTGTCAGAGCTTCATTCACATATACTTTTGAATTATTGGTTAGGTTGTAGGATTTGAGATTACGTTTGTTGCCATATACTGATGCGCGATCTCTATAACTTATAAAACGTACTATAATATCACGTGTGTTACCAGTGCCTTTGGGTCCTACCCTGTGAGTCCGTCCTATTTGTTCCTTTGATAATGTCTGACTATTTTCTTCTAATAAGATGTAACTGTTTATTAATTTTAATACAATATCGTCTGTATTTTCATGGGGATTTTCTTTAATACCTGTGATCTTCTCGAATATTGTTCTAAGTCATCAATCCAATTTTCTGGGGACTTAATTTGACTGTTAAAGTGCTTTGATACCTCACCCTGAAGTAGACATGAGATTATTAGCATTATAGTTTCACTAATTTTATTAATTATTGTCTCGCGTTTTAACAGCTCTGTAACCAAACATTTTAAAGAATCCTCACCCCTCATCATGCTGTCTAAAAACTCATTTATGCTATTTGATGTACTTTCTTCATCCTACCTTTTCTGTTTTTTCCTCTTATTTTCTTTTCCGCCCATTTTTTAGTCCACTTCGAAATTAATTTAGGTTCACACAAAATAATTTTATCCTGAAATTCTACACTGGAAGTTCTATTTACACTTGAAGTTTAAATCTCACCAAAGGTTTACACACTGGCTTCTACAAACTGGTTTTCACCTGAGTTTGTTCGCGTGAGTAGAAATCGCGCCTAGAATCACAAAACTAGTATTAATTGTTCAATAATTAATAATCCATATCACATTCGGTGTAAAATCGTGTCAAATATCGACCATAGTCTATATATCCACCAACACAGGGATTATTGAAGGTTTATCACATTACTTTCAATCATAAAATAACAAAAAATCTCTCTGGCTATCTGCGTGTCCACCTCAGTCGGCCATCTTGTCCATATCATAGTTACATGTTATTAATAATCCTTCCCAGCTACCACGATCAACCTTTTTGTTACATTGTATAGTTACATGTTATTAATAATCCTTCCCCAGCTACCACCATCACCTATTTTGTTACTTTCTTCTCTTTTACCATCTTCCAAACGCCCTTTAAAACACATCTACTTAACAATATATTATTCTTCCTTTTCTGCCAGAGATGTTTTGAATTTTATATTTACGTAAATAATATATTATTCTTCTTCCTTTACTGTTAGAGTATATATGTTCTGAATTTTACATTTACTTTAAAGAATATATTATTCTTTTTCCTTTACCGTGAGAGTATATATGTTCTGAATTTTATATTTACTTAAACAATATATATTATTCTTCTTCCTTTACTGTGAGAGTATATATGTTCTGAATTTGATATTTACTTAAACAGTATATTATTTTTCTTCCTTTACTGAGAGAGTATATATGTTCTGAATTTGATATTTACTTTAGAAAATTGTCCTGGTGGTTTTTACGGTATCAATTGTAACATTAGATGTCCAGCGAATTGTACAAACAACGTCTGTGGGAAAATGATAGGATCATGTTCTAATGGTTGTCAGGGAGATCTTTATGGTAGCAGGTGTGAATTTGCATGCAGCACCAGATGTAAGAATGGTAAATGTAATGCCAGAACAGGGAAATGTACCGGATGTAAAGATGCTTACTATAGTGATATGTGTGAAGAATCATGTCCTACCTGTAATGGTACATGTCGACAATTGGATGGTGTTTGTTTAACTGGTTGTAAAGATGGATATTGGGGATCTAATGGTTTGTGTCTACAGACATGTGCCTACTGTAATACAGGAGGCTGTAGAATAGAAGATGGCGTATGTCATAATGGCTGTCCAGTTGGTTTTAACAATCCGAAATGCTTCAATAGTCCATGTAAGTCGTGTTTCCTAATTCCTAATTATTGTAAATCATACTGGGTAGGAAGGGTTTGGGCGGGGATTCCAATTGGTCGCTAATCAACAATGATTGACTAAGGTCCCTGAACTTGGTTATAGTAGTACCGGATATATTTTCGGTTATTAATAACTCTTCCCCAGCCATTTGGTTACTGTGTATAGTTAAATGTTATTAATAACTCTTTTCCAGCCACCACCGCCACCTATTGTGTTACAGTATATATAGTTACATGTTATTAATAGCTACAAGCTATTATAATAGCTACAAGCTGTTTTTTTACAGTGTATAGTTACATGTTTACAACAATAATACTACTAGTAAACACTCTACCCACAACAACATTCAAGCTGACAAATATCTGTTAATTGTCAACTGTCTAACAAAAGACATGATGTAAACAATAAGCCGCCACTTTAGGGGGAATACCCAAGCGTAGTGGTTTCGGTGGGTCGAATTCTTTTGGAAACCATCTTCAAACCGAGGTCCGAGAGAATCTGCCATATATTTTACCCTACTCTATTACCAGAAAATGCCTTAAGGCGGCCATCTTGAATATTTTTAATTTCCTTAAGGGTGCCAGGGTGACATCATCCGGATTCTGCATCTACACATACCGAAGATATATAATTCACCAATAAACATTTGGTGGTCTATATTTCCATTGAATACCATGAATGTTTTCATATTTTTCAGGCTCCTTGAATGTGGCTCTGAATAAACCAACAAGGCAAAGTTCAACGCATGGTGGTGGCGTTTCATCTAGAGCTGTGGATGGTAATACGAATCAGGATTGGTCTGGGGGAAGTTGTACACACACTAACAGAGGAGCAAGCGAATGGTTGTGTGTCGATCTAAAACAGACTTTTGATATCAGTAATATGAAGATATTCAACATGGCAAGCTGTTGTACGTAAGACTATAACTAAACGGAACTGTTACATTTAAAATAGTAAATACAACAGATCATAGTAAATACAACAGATCATAGTAAATACAATATAAAACCAGAAACTGGTGTTGTGTAGAGCTAGTTCTGTATAAAGATAAAACAGACAATCTTTTATGTGCACGCCAATGTGTACACGGAGCCCCGAGTTTTCGTAACATCCGAACGACCAGACATCTGTCCTTGTCAGGCCCTCCGTCCTGCACCACTGACAAGGGGAAACCTGCTCAATTAGCCACCATGGCTCCGAAAGCAGAAAGATATCCGAGGATATATATATTTACTAAGTTTTTCAGAAAAAAATAGTTTGCAATATACCTAGTTGAATCAATGTAGTTTTAAAATTATTGTTTGAGAAATTGATAAAACACAGTGTGTTGCAAATGGTATTCCATAGAACAGCATGTTTCTTATAAAAAGGATATTACGCTATAACACCTTTATCTTCCTGAATTCTGTTTTGGGTCACAAACCCATAGTTTAAATTCGACGGGGAATATTTGGAAACTTTCTATCAGATCAAACCCCTGCAATATGACAAATAAGATTTGTTAATAATATAAGCACTTTAAAACTGTATATATATTATGAATAGAGTGGATTTGTGCAAATAGTAAAAGTGGCGAGTATAGTTTCTGATTATTTCCAGATTTATCACACAGAGTTGTTTCTAACCTGACAGTTTCTAGTTACATACAATTTATATTGTTTCCAGGTACTGACGAAATGAAAGGATTTGAGATTAGATTGAGTTTTACTGGTCACTGTGATGAAGCAGGTTTTACATCAGCTACACCATGTTATCAAGACCAGGCACAAAAAGGACAATATGTATACACCATAGAGAGGTGTAATCAACCACCTGTACTATCACTATCGGCTAGATATGTTTTTGTGTCAGTACAACGTCAATATTTGCACATCTGTGAACTACAAATATTCGCAGGTAGGTCTATTACTGATTCAATATCGCGACTGAAATCGTGGTCAGTCGTTGCAATCGAGTTGATCGAAGAACATTTTTGGACAATTCAAAGGTTTTCTACGATCAACACGATTAATTGTAAATAGTGATTATAGCATAGCAGCAGATCATGTTTTGTTGATTAAGAAGTAGAATGATATGAAAATTAACAGATAGTTTCCGATGATTTCAACGCTTGATAGTTACTTCCAATAAATGTGTATATCAAAACTTTCACAGTCAGTACTAGCTTGTGACAGAAACATTGTCAGATATTGCTCCACCTGTGATATCAAAACTATCAACAATTCAATCAGTGAATATTGTTAGTAGAGTTATCTACCTTTCCTTACGAATTGTCACGATTCTAATAATGCGTGAAATATGACATTTATTTCCACTGACCATGTTTAACCTGGTGTCTGGGTTGTTATGTGGTTGATTATCCAGTAGAATTTCGTCAAACGTGGACAACTGATCCAGTTCCTTCATACGTCGAAGACTAGGATGTTCCTGGTGTCCGAGACTATGTTGGGATAGGCGAATCAAAACTCGAACAGTACCGAAAATTATTGTTTCGTATTTGTTCCTAGTTTTTATATTAAATATTACTTCTGTTTGGTTTTCAGGTCCTTGAAATTAACCTGAGCATGCCATTACCCAGAAACCAGGGAGGTTATAAGAAAATCAACAATGGTGAAAAAAGAAGGAAAAATAAACAGGTTTATTTTGAAAATACATGTTTCTGTATTTCAAATAAATATTTTATACAACTGTAAAATTATATACGCTTTATAGATATCTTATATACATGTAAAGTAGAATTTATGTCCTAATTGAAGACTTTACTACTGGTGGGTATAAAATAGAAATTGGTTATGAAAATATCCCATTCCCATGCTTTTGTTAAATTTTTGCTGGTTTTTGTTCTTGCAATTAATCAATATGCTTATATTTTAATACTATTACAATTATGTGCACTTATTGTATATTACATGTTGGATTTTTACACTTTGATATCATAAAGTAAAATGCTTATCTGAATAAAACTTTAACACAATTCGACTTGTTTATTTTATTTCCTGTTTGTTTTGTTCTGGTTGTTGTCAATCAAATTATATAAAACGTGATTTACATCAACCACGAAATGCACATTTTATTCAACTGAAAGCAGGCGCTTGTCCATGGGGCGGAGCTTATACAGGAGTGAGCCAGGATTTATACATTTTATTCATATGGTTTGTAAATCAAACTTGTCAACGTCAAAATATATTACACTACCTTAAACACTGGATAAGAGATAGCGAAATGGGGCTTAACGTCCACTCGTAACAATCTAAATCATTTTGGGACTGACATATTCAATTTCAATTAGATAATTCGCTTGTGCGTAGGGGTCTTTAGCAGTGGAGGGAACGGTAGGAACCGGAGAAAACCTACGACTCTACTCCTTGTCAGTACAACCAGAGAATTGAAACCACGACACTTGACTCAATGACAGACCTTGTGGTCCAACGCGCACGCGTGAACCATTCGGCCACTTAACTCCCTTAAACACGTGATCAATGATATAAAATATACTAAACTACCTTACACACGTGATCAATGATATAAAATATACCACACTGTCTTAAACACGTGATCAATGATATATAATATACTACACTGTCTTAAACACGTGATCAATGATATATAATATAATACACTGACTTAAACACGTGATCAATGATATAAAATATACCACACTGACTTAAACACGTGATCAATGATATATAATATAATACACTGTCTTAAACACGTGATCAATGATATATAATATACTACACTGTCTTAAACACGTGATCAATGATATATAATATACTACACTGTCTTAAACACGTGATCAATGATATATAATATACCACACTGACTTAAACACGTGATCAATGATACATAATATAATACACTGACTTAAACACGTGATCAATGATATAAAATATACTACACTGTCTTAAACACGTGATCAATGATATATAATATACCGCACTGTCTTAAACACGTGATCAATGATATATAATATAATATACTGACTTAAACACGGGACCGATATATAAATGAATCTGTTCAGCTCCAAGTTGCGATTTGGTTACCCAATCTGTAGTACCCTATCAATGTAGTTGGATAGGGGCGTGTACCCAGGGAGAACAATTGTAATCATAGAAGCCCATAGCAGGAAGCACACTATCTCCCTGTGTATGTGTGAATAGACGGGGCTATGCCTTAAAATGAAGATCAACATTAATTAGTAGCACTGTAAGTGGATGTGATTTTAGCGTTTATGTGCTGCAGTTGTGTTGTTTTGTGATTGGGAAGGTCTGTATTTGGTGGGGTCTGGGCCGGGGTCGGGTCGGGGTCTGAATTGTTGGTAAATTTAATAATGTTCAAATAAAATGATGATCATCTAATAGATTAATTTCTAGCACTACACAGCTCCGAAAACAAGACTTTTTACAGCGTACAGGTGCACAGCACTTGTCAACGTGAATTTGGCACGTTATTCGGGATTCGGGATTCGCCAATAACGAATAACGAGCCAGCACGTTATTTGGGATTCGCCACTAAAATAGAACGACCTACGTTGCATCCGACCATTTCCTCTCTACCGCCGACAGTAGGGGTAAGTGAACGTTGGGTGACCGACTAACAAGGAGACGACCGTTTGTCGAGTGACTAGTGTGTTGGCTGGTTTGTTGACATGCACGGGGCAGTCCTCTCCTGAACTCAAATGTTGTATTGCTGAATCCCGAATAACGTGCTGGCTCGGTATTCGTGATCGCGAATCCCGAATAACGAGCCATCACGTTATTCGGGATTCGGGATTCGCCACTAAAACTGAACGACCTACGTTGCATCCGACCATTTCCTCTCCGGGGTGGTGGGGGGGGGCGAATGTTCAAGCACGTGCGCGCTGTATCATTAAGCCTGTCATTGAGTCAACTTGCGTGGTTTCTAATCCCCGGTTGTACGTGGCAAGGAGTAGGATCACCTGTCCCACCTCCTCCGGTTTCCACCCACTGCTAAAGACCCTACGAGCAAGTGAATTATTGAAATAAAAGTAATAGTATATGTTAGTCTCGAAATGTTCTAGTTTGTGTCGAGTCGACGTTAAACCTCATTTTTCTCTCTCTCTCTCTCTCTAGGGGTAAGTGAACGTTGAGTGACCGACTAACAAGGAGACAACCGTTTGTTGAGCGAATAGGGTGTTGGCTGGTTTGTTGGCGTGCACGGGGCAGTCATCTCCAGCAATCACCTGTTGTATTGCTGAATCCCGAATCCCGAATCCCGTGCTGGCTCGTTATTCGGGATTCGCCAATAACGAATAACGAATAACGAGCCAGCACGTTATTCGGGATTCGTGATTCGCCACTAAAACAGAACGACCTACGTTGCATCCGACCATTTCCTCTTTACCCCCGACCGTAGAGGTAAGTGAACTTTGGGTGACCGACTAACAAGGAGACGACCGTTTGTCGAGCGAATAGGGTGTTGGCTGGTTTGTTGACGTGCACGGGGCAGTCCTCTCCTGAACTCACCTGTTGTATTGCCGAATCCCGAATAACGTGCTGGCTCGTTATTCGTGATTCGCCAATAACGAATAACGAATAACGAGCCAGCACGTTATTCGGGATTCGGGATTCGTGATTCGCCACTAAAACTGAACGACCTACGTTTCATCCGACCATTTCCTCTCTACTTCCGTGGGGGGGGGGGGCGAATGTTCAAGCACGTGCGCGCTGTATCATTAAGCCTGTCATTGAGTCAATTTGCGTGGTTTCGAATCCCCGGTTGTACTTTGAAATAAAATTAAAACTATATGTTAGTCTCGAAATGACCTAGTTTGTGTCGAGTGGAAGCTGCTCGATGATAGAAGGCGTAACCAAAGCCCACCTTAACTGCAGCGGGGCCCTGGGGCCCCTAACGCGACGAAAATATTATTTCATAGCCTTTTGAGTGGCACTCATGCGTAGCAAACAATTATACGGTTTGAATTACAAGAAAATTTACATAATGTCAGTTCCGAATGGTATACAATGCGCGGGAATGACATATAATGGTGGGGGTCTGTTATAACAAGTGAAATCGCCGCTAGAAGCCTAGACCGGTCATCGAGTTGAACTTCACAGAGAAGGTTGAGGGATAGCTCAGTCTCGGGGATAGCTAGATCGATTACCGTGAAACTTTCATCTGGGATTTGAATTTGTTCTCTTTTTGCCATGATCCACGGGGCCCCCTAAACCGCGGGACCCTAGGTATGTGCCCCTCAGGCCCATGCCTAAGCTGGGCCTTGGAGATAACTTAAAGCTACATCTAGATATACAACGTATATACACGTGTATAATTGAAATGAAGTGTGATTTACAGCGGATTTTTCTGTTAGTTACCTATATATTATGTAGCCAAAGACAATTGTAACTATAGCCAATTAACACCACAGTGTTAATATGTAAATATGTATTGATTGTAGTATAGTGTCCATCTCTATACAAGGGCATTATTTCTGAAGAACTTTCAGGTGAGCTAAAATTGTAAAAAATATTAAAATTTGAATGTTATTTAACCGGTGTTGTAATCAGTTTGTGTCGGCGCACCTTTATCTTTACCGCGAAACAAAATAATGCAGTTTTGCGGCTGTGCTAACATTTTTGGATAATGTATTTAGGTATATATTTATATACGTGTGTAATTGAAATGAAATGAAATGGGATTTAACGTTCATAATTTGGAACATAAATTTGCTTCCATTACAGCAGTGTTAAGTGGGATTAGGTGTAAGCAAACGAAACACTGCGAGTGGTATGTGAGAACTACTGAACTTATTGTTTTATAAACCCTATATTGACGATCTTACTCATGACGTCAACTGGTAGACTATCGCTATTCAGGAGACGGACACTGTCAAAGCGACCGCATTGTTTCTAATAAGTCTTTATTGTAAATCCTATTTTTCTTGAGTTATCGTTTTAAATATCTGAGTGAAACTTGTACTTGTACCCGGGACTGTACATATCAGTAGACGTTTACAACAGGCCCCCAGATCCATTCGATTGATTTGATATTTCTTGTTTATTTCTTGCTATTTCTATGTAGTTTGTCTTGTCAGAAGGTTTATCTTGTGGGATTTGATTTGCTTGTAGCGTGGTTGTTGTTTAGTATCGCTGAATCTGGTTGCAATAAGGTAAGGTAAGGGCAACATAAAAAGAGACCACGTTATTGTTATTTGGACAATGGGATTATGATGAGACTGACTGGCATTTCCTTGCTTATTTGATCTAACTATTTTCTAGATCACTTTTACAGAATGACAGCACATAGCAACACTTCCCTATACTCGGGCTAGAAACCTCACCGGATTCGACCATTATCAACCATATCGGTATTTGTTGTTAGTGTATTTATGATGGAGCCGTGCCTACCCACCCACCCAGTGTGCCTTTGCATTTTTAGTGAATTTATGAAGGAGCCCTGCCTACTCACCAATCATGCCTCTGTATCTGTAGTGTATTTATGAGGGAGCCACCCAGCACACCTCTGTACATAAATGTTTAAATATAAATTACAATTCCAGGTAACATCTTATAACCAGTACATCCAGGATATTTTCCCCTGCAATACAGGTAGTATAGCGCATGACATACCAAAGTTACAAAATCGAGTTGTTTCCCTTTTCCTGAAGTAGAAAATAATACATGATATGGTCAATGAATATGAAATGGCAAAATTAAATGCTCAGTTCGCTGGCCAGGACGGGGGTTATTTTACAGTGCTCAGTGATGTACCTAGATACAATTGTATTATATGTATATCAAGATGTACTAGCGCCATATAAATGTACATATTATTATTATTATTAAAGTAATAATTCCAACTGCAAAGTGTTTTCTTACGTGCACAAACGGGAACCACGCGGGAATATCCCCAGGAAATATTTCGAGTAATAACGGGGACGAACCCGAGACCCCCAGATTAGCGAGTCTCCGGCTTGAAGTATAGAAAAATACAAAGTTTACACAGAGAAAATAG